ATTTTATTTATTCTCTTCTTGCAGCAGAACTTCTAGGGCAAATAAACCAGAGAATAAAATATCCAAATTAATATAGACACAAGACTGTTTTTTGATTGGTGTTATTTGAAATAAACTTTAAATTAAACATTGGAAATAGAGGTCGAAATAGTTTTTTGTTTTTTTTTGTTTGACACTAAAACGAAAAAATGAAATACCAAACTGTTTTCCTATTTTATTGTTTTTGGTTAATTGAAATTCAAAAGAATGAACGGTACACAGACCCAGTATAAAAATATTTAACTTTCAAAATAAAACCAAAAATAAGAAAAGACAAACAAACAAACAAATTATTTTCTTCATTATTTGTCTCTAAAACCAAAATGAAAAAAACTGATAATGATTCATTTCCCATTTATTGTGAGTTAAACTGTGATGCTGAACTAAACCAGGACTGAACCAGGACTAAACCAGGACTAAACCAGGACTGAACCAGGACTAAACCAGGACTAGACCAGGACTAAACCAGAACTAAACCAGGACTAAACCAGAACTGAACCAGGACTAAACCAGAACTAAACCAGGACTAAACCAGGACTAAACCAGGACTAAACCAGGACTAAGCCAGGTCTAAACCAGGACTGAACCAGGACTAAAACTGGTCTAAACCAGGTCTAAACCAGAACTGAACCAGGACTGAACCAGGACTAGACCAGGACTAACCAGGACTGAACCAGGACTGAACCAGGACTGAACCAGGACTAGACCAGGACTAGACCAGGACTGAACCAGGACTGAACCAGAACTGAACCAGGTCTAAACCAGGTATAAACAAGGCCTAAACCAGGACTGAACAAGGTCTAAACCAGGACTAAACCAGGACTAAAACAAGGTCTAAACCAGGACTAAACCAGGACTAAAACTGAACCTAAACCAAGCTACACGTCTAAATGATAATGGCGACAACAGAGAAATACAAACACACAAAATAAAATTCCTTCGTATTTTATTGGAAAAGCAGAAAGTTTTTTATACAAACAGTTGATATAAAATCTGTAAAACCTGTAAAATCTGTAAAACCTGTACATGTGACGTTTGGAAGACTGAAAAATGGAGGTACAAAAAACTCACAAAACTCACTTCAGAAAGGTTTAAAAGCCCCATATTTCACTTTTTTATCTGTTTTAATGTAGTTTCCTGCTCAAAAACAAACCTGGAGTCGTGTTTTGTTTCACTCTTTTTACTTTTTTACTGCTATTTTATTACTTTTATTTGTTTGTGACGAGGAAACTGCATCAAAACAAATCAGAAAATAACGTAACATGAGGCTTTTAATAAATATTCCAGATAAACTATCAGAGCGTTTTTTCAGTTTTAGCAGAATTTGCGAGTTTTGTTTTCAAACTGCACGCGTCCTGTCATCCGTCGCTGTTACATTTAAGGCTTGAAATTCAAAACATCTCACATAAACGTTAAAATAAAAATATTAAAAGCATAAAAACTGTACAAACTCTGTACCAGAAGTCGTCGGGCTTTGTCAAAAACGATATAATTACATTAATAATAATATAATACTGTGTTTGGTGACAGCGTTAGCAGCACAAAAGCTCCTATATTCCACGGGCTTTGGACTTCTGCGTCACGGGAGGGCATCCGGCGTAAACGTAAGTCGGTCTGAAGTCGTGTGGGCTTTAAAAACGCAGAGGAGCTCAGTCTAAGTCCGCAGAATATAAGAGCTTTACACACATTCAATTGACACGTTAAAGTTAAAGTTTGACCCTGATGCCAGTTCGACGACCAGCGTGAAGTCGGCCCCCGTCAAACGAAAACCTGCACGAAAACTCCGGCAAAAAGATTCGTTTGTGCTTCGTTTTTCAAAATAAAACTAAAAATAATAAGAAAAAAAAACTACTTTCTTCATTATTTGTCTCTAAAACCAAAATGAAAAAAACAGATAATGATTCATTTGCCGTTAAAACTGCAATGCCGGTCTAAACCAGGTCTAAACCAGGTCTAAACCAGGTCTAAACAAGGTCTACACCAGGTCTAAACCAGGACTAAACCAGGACTAAACCAGGTCTAAACCAGGACTAAACCAGGTCTACACCAGGTCTAAACCAGGACTAAACCAGGTCTAAACCAGGACTGAACCAGGTCTAAACCAGGTCTAAACCAAGTCTAAACCAGGACTAAACCAGGACTAAACCAGGTCTAAACCAGGTCTAAACCAGGACTAAACCCAGGTCTAAACCAGGACTAAACCCAGGTCTAAACCAGGACTAAACCCAGGTCTAAGCCAGAATTAAATCAGGTCTGAACCAGGACTAAAACAGGTCTAAACCAGAACTGAACTGGTCTCAGTCCTGGTCCTGGTCCCGGTCTCAGTCCTAAACCAGGAGTGTCAGGACTCCAATTTGACCAGTAAAAAATTCATAAAAATTTCCAAAACTTTTTGCAGCACAAACGATCAACAGAGTTTTTGTTCAGGTTTGTGTTTTGACGTGTTTGACGTCTGACTTCACGCCGGTCTGTTCACAGCACGCTTCTGTCAAAACTCACTGTTTCACATGAAAAAGAACCACTGCGGAACATTTTTAAAACATGGAAACAACACAAGTTTAAGTTTTTTTGCAGTTAAATTGTGAGACCAGCTCAGCGAAAATCATTGTCCTGGAGTTAAACCAAACGCCAAACAATAGAGTTCTACTAGTTTCAGCAGCCATAAAAACATATGTTTACACTTATTAAAAAATGTGTTTATACTTATAAAAAAAAAATATATATATATATATATATATATATATATATATATATATATATATATATATATAAAAATGTATATACCTTATATATTGAGTATGTATAAGCCTTATTAGTTAGATGCCATAAAACATAAACCTTTATCCATTTATTAGTGTCCAGAGGAAAGAGGCGTTTATTTAATAAAACCTTTCTTTTTCAGCACTGTACATGTAATTCAGAAATCCTTTGGCGAGCTACTTGAAAAGGGCTGAAGAGCTACTGGTGGCTCCCGAGCCACAGGTTGGAGACTCCTGGACTACACACTACAGATCTCCACCTCCTTTAGTTTTGTGTTTTGTTCTGAACAGCTAAACTTTGAAGAACATAATGATTATTAAAACTGTAAACGTATCATTTTCACTTTAACTTCTTGGGTTCCTTTTAAAGACAATGCAGTACAGTGTATTTACCGTGTTGACATGTTTCAGCATCTTCAGAACTGTCACCGGTGTTGGTGGCGACGTGTCGTATATCAGCTGTTTTTACTTCCTGTAGACGTGGTCAGTCTGATGGACCTGGCAGGTCGCTCACACTGACCACGTCTCCCGTTGCTGCATTGTCTTTAAAAAGAACCCAAGAAGTTAAAGTATATAAGAAGACAAAATGAACATCATTGGCGTATCATTTTCACTGCACTAATAAATACTGCCCTACAAAGAGCTTAACTCTCCGGAGTGTGAAACTGGTTCTCTTTTGTCCAGACAAAAGTTTCTCCCAAAATTTGACAACTAGTTGCTCTAATGAAGAAATATTTGTAGACGAAAAATATTGAGCTCACAGTTGTTAAGTATAAAATAAGGAGTCGTGCAAAGGCAAAAGTTCAGTTTGGCGTTTGCACGACTCAGGGTCTGACAAATAAGGGACAAATGTCAATTTTGAGCTCAATATTTTTCACGATATTTATTCACGTGATAAACCGGGTCTCAAATATAAACAAAATGACAGGATGTTACTGCGTTCTGCCTTTATAGGACAGAACGGATAAGGGCGTACTCTATGTTTAATAGGCCTTTTACTGTTCTACGCCATTTCTCGCGACCGCTAAAAACGAGCGGCTCTCTGGAATTTTCTTTAAATAAACGTTGCACTCCGGAGGAAAAAAGGTTGGAGACCCCTGGACGACGCTCTGCACACGGCACGCGGCACACGACAGATCCGCTGCAGTCCAGGGACATTTTTAGAGCAGAATTTAAGCTATTTTCCATCAAACAGGTGCTCCCCACTGACCCCTCCCCCTTCTCTGTGTGTATGTGTGTGCGTTTGTGTGTGTAAGTGTGTGTGTGTGTGTGTGTGTGTGTGAGTCGGTCCAACTGTCCAACAACTGCTGCCCCAACACTGATGCAGAGACCCAGAGCTTCCTAGATGTTAAATTTAAGCTCCTGAATTACACAAAACGAACCTGGAGTTGTGTTTTGCTTCATTCACACATTTGAGTGACTCTTTATTATCAGCTCAAAATGCTCTGTTCCAACTTGTGATGTCATGTAGTGGTAGTTTTTTCAAGTGAACAGCTCATTCTTTTTTTTGTTTTTACATTTAGTTGAGCAGAAATCGGCAATTCCAGGACTGTAAAGATCTGATTCTAGTGAAGGTGTGTGGAGTTTAAAAACACAGTGAAGCACTTCCTGTATTGCCATGTGACATCACAAGGTGGAACGGAGTGTTTTCGGTTTGAGAGAAGAACTAAATGTTTAGAGTTTTTTGAATGGAATAAATGAATGAAACAAAACACATGCTCAGAGTTCTCTCGCTTTTTTTCTCTCGTTTGAAATAAAAATGTGACTTTTTCAGGAGGTATAGGGAATTTTCTTTAAAAATCTCAGTTTGACCTAAAGCTTCACTGTGGAACTTTTCCGTTAGAGGTCAGATCTGTGGAGAGGAGAGTCTGTTCACTGTAAAAGATTCTGTTTTTCAAAGTCTGCTTGAGCATTAAGTGTACTTATGGAAGAAGAAATGAAGTGAAGACAGATGTTTAATGCCCTACTGTGGAACCTGCCAGGCAAAGCATCAACATCTCCATGGAGACCAACAGGCAGCAGACCCCCCGCCAGAAAAGTGACACAGTGAAGCTTTAAACGACGAGCTCCAACAGTAAAAAAAATAAAAAAAGTTCTCTCCATGTGAAACAGTGACAGAAGCATGGTCCCGCCCCCTTCCCCCAGGCCCTGCCCCCTCCCCGTCAGGCACCGCCCCTTCATCTCAGGCCCCGCCCCCTCATCGAGCCGTACCGTCACACGCCCCTTTAAGAGCTCGCCACCCCTTTAAGAGGCAGAACTTTACTGAAAGAGTCAGAAACTGTATTTAAGTGTTTTTAAATCTGCGACTCCCGCCGCAGCGGCCGCGGGCTGGGGTCAGAGGTCAGGTCGGAGTTTGGGGTGCTCTCAGGCGCCCCCTCTGACGCAGTGTCTGTGAGGCCCTCTGACTCCTCCCCCTCCTTTTTCTCCCCCTCCTCTCTGTCCTCTCTGTCCTCCCTCGTCTCCTCTGTCTCCTCCAGGTCCTCCTGTTTCTCAGGTTCTATCCCGTTCTCCTCAGGTTCCATCTCGTTCTCCTCAGGTTCTATCTCGTTCTCCTCAGGTTCTATCTCGTTCTCGTAGCAGAAGAGCGGCTGGTGGAGCAGGTACTTGCCCTGGGCCAGGTCTCGGTCCTGGTCCAGTTCTCGTGCGCTGCAGTGGGGAGTGCTGGGGACCTCGTAGGTTTTGTGAAACCTGGAGTAGTCGACTCTGTAACAGTTCTTGTCCTCAAACAGCACGGGCTCGAAGCGCTGGCCCCAGAGGATCTCGTGAGCGAGGTAGGAGCTTCTACACTGTGTGGTCATAGCCGTGGCCTCCACCATCCCCTCCAGAATCACCACCACCTCAAAGTCCGCCCCCTGGAGGCCGGTGCGGCTCAGCGAGTACAGCGGGCTGTTCTCGTCGATCACGTGCACCACGGTGATGGGAGACACCAGGAAGAGTCTGTCCACGCCGCTGTCAAAGCCCACGTTTATGTCACTCTGGTCCAGAGGGATGAACTCGCCCTCCTCCGTCACTCGTGAGCGCAGCAGCTGCGCACGCACGTGCGCCTCCACCAGGTGGCTCCGCCGCAGGTTTCCCACTCGCCACATGAGGCACAGGCGCCCGTCTCTCAGCGCGATCACCGCGTTTTCACTGAACACTAGTGTCTCGTTGCGCTTCTTGGGTTTGGCCATCTTGGCCATGACGGCGCCGATGATGAAGGCGTCGATGATGCATCCCAGAATGCTTTGCAGCACCACGGCGAACACGGCCAGCGGGCACTCCTCCGTCACGTACCTGTAGCCGTAGCCGATGGTCGTCTGTGTTTCCACGGAGAAGAGGAAGGCGGCGGTGAAGGTGCTTACGTTAGACACGCACTTCCTGTGACCTCCGACCTCCAGGTCGCCGTGGAGCAGCGCCAGGAGCCAGAAGATGAAGCCGAAGAGGAGCCAGGACAGGACGAAGGCCAGGCAGAAGATCAGCAGCATGTACCTCCAGCGCACGTCCACGCAGGTGGTGAACAGGTCGGCCAGGTACCGCTGGCCTCGCCCGCTCACGTTTACGAAGTGCACGTTACAGTGACCGTCCTTCTTCACGAAGCGGCTGTGCGGCGGCGCCGGCTTCGCTTTGCCGTTAGCCGTGTTAGCGGTGAGCTTCATCTCGTCGGAGGACACGGCGCTGTAGCAGCTGGTGCTGACGTGTCGACTGTTGACTCGAGCGCTTCCCATCCCCTCGACCTGGAGCTTCTGAAGGAAGCGCTGAAGCACCTGCCCCAGAGCGAAGACGAGGGTCGACCACAGAGAGAGAAACGAAACGTCCGCCACGAGGAGAGGGTCAGCGAGGGCCACGGGTCATCTGCAGAGACAGAGAGAGAGAGAGAGAGAGAGACGTTAGATACATCTGCGGAGGGAAAGAGACAGAGAGGAGGGGGGGATCAGATACATCTGAGAGAGAGAGAAGGTTTGAGTTTGTGTTTGTGAAAACTCCACTTCTTTTCTTTAGACCGGAGCAGGACTCGTGTTCAGATGGTCCATCACTTTCTCTGTACAACATCAAACCTACAGCTGCAGCTACAGTTGGACCAGAGTCTCTGTCCTCATCACCTCCTCAAGTCACGTCTTTGTCCAGTCCTTTTTTAGTCCTGGTTTAGTCCTGGTCCAGTCTTCTGGTTCAGTCCTGGTCCTGGTTTAGTCCTGGTTCTGTCTTGGTTCAATCCTGGTCTGTCCTGGTCCTGTCCTGGTCCTGTCCTGGTCCTGTCCTGGTCCTGTCCTGGTCCTGTCCTGGTCCAGTTTGTTTTGGCCCGGTTCCTGGTCTTAAGCAGGTCTCATGAACTCCTGTGAAAGGTCACATCTGAGTCTTTACATAACATCTGAGTCATTACATCATCATTCAAAAACTATTCTCACAGAAAGTTCTGCACAGCATCTACTTGGGTCATAACCGGATCATAACTGGATCATAACCGGATCATAACCGGACTATAACCAAATTCTAAACTCCACTTTGGGTCCTGGACTTTTTCCTCATCACACTAAAAGAGCAACAAGTCAATGGTGAACAGTTCAACATTTGATAAAATGACAAAGTTCTGGGTTAGGCCCTAGACCTGGTTCAGTTCTGGGTTAGTCCTCAGACCTGGTTCAGTTCTGGGTTAGTCCTCAGACCTGGTTCAGCTCTGGGTTAGTCCTCAGACCTGGTTCAGTTCTGGGTTAGTCCTTGTTTTGGTCCGGGTCCTCAGAGGTTCGATCTCTGCAGACACTTTCCTCATTAGAACTGTCGCCTAGAAACACCTCTGTTTACTGCAAAAAAAAAGTACTACTACTGCTACTACGTTACTAGTACTGCTACTAATACTACTACTACTACTACTACTACTCTGACACACACACTTACAGACAGGAGCAGACAGAAGTAGACAGGAGATGACAGGAGCAGGCAGGAGCAGTAGCTGATGTGAATGAGACAAATGTGTAACAGGTGCAGAGCTAAAACAGAGCCTCTAAATCCAACAACAGCTCTGTATCCGAGGCATGTGCACGTACACGAGCGTGCACGAGGGGCCTGGAGTGTGCACATATGCGAGCGTGCACGAGGGGTTGGGGCGTGCACGAGTGCTGATAGAGACGTCGTGTTGAGGTTTAACTCCTGTTGATGGAGTTAGAGCCTCTGACGTAAAACAGACGACTGAGGACTGGCACGTGCACGATGATTGTGCACGAGTACGAGTTCACGTGAGTGTGCACAGTGTGCACGATGAGTGTGCACGAGTACATTGTACAGTGTATATGAGTGTGCACGTATATGAGTGTGCACGTGTGCACGTATATGAGTGTGCACGTACCTGTGTGCACGTATATGAGTGTGCACGTACCTGTGTGCACAGCGTGCACAGGGCCGGGGCGTGCACGTGCTCTGGGGCAGGTCCATCTGCCCCGGGGCAGCTGTGGCTCAGAGTCAGACTGAAGCCTCAGAGACTCTGAAAGTTTTAAAGTGTTAAAGTGTCTGACTTTTCTGATTCTCTGAATCTGGGGTAAAAATGTTTAAATATAAATTATATTTTTACACAAATCCAGACGCAATTTGTGAAGAAAAGTTGAAAAATGTGCTGAAAGTTTCAGCAAGTGGAGTTTTGTTTTTGAAACAGAATTCCATTCAAACATTTGGCCAATTTACACAAAAACAATGTTTGTTTTGGATACTTAATTATTATAATAAAATAATATATATAATATATAATATATATTATAATATTATAATTACAATTTAATATTTATCATTTATATTTCCTGACACACAGAGGAGTTTGGGCTCTGTGTGCCACACCGTCGCTATGGCAACAGTTATGAAATTCTCTGCTGTGATGTCACGATTTACATCCAGGAAAAAATACAATTTTAAACTTTTTTAGGTTTCAAATCTACAAAGTGTGAAAAATAGTAAATTCTTAAATAAAATAATTTTAAGTGAGTTTTAATGAAATGAACTCAAACTGTCACGGACATTTTAAAACTGTTCACAGAAGATCTGGTTATGATCCTGGTCTGGACCTGTGTGGATCCTGGTCTGGTCTGGTTATGATCCTGGTCTGGACCCTGGTCTGGACCGTGGTCTGGTCTTGTGCAGGTGCAGTTGGAGGAGGCTGATGTGTCGTCATAGAAACATGATATTCTGGTGCTTTCGGGTCTGATGTGAAACAGGACGTTGTGGTTCTGGCCCACTTTGGTCTGACCCCTTTGAGTCAGTTTGAGGTTTAGCGCCAAAACTGAACAAAATAATTTTACACTGAATGGAAACTTCAACATTTACAGTAAAAACTAAACTATAACAGCAATTTAGACCTGGTTCAGTCCTGGTTCAGTCCTGGTTTAGACCTGGTTCAGTCCTGGTTTAGACCTGGTTTTTCTGGTTTAGTGACTCTGTTTCCTGTCCACATTGAGACGTTACATCAGATATTAAAAAAAAAAAAAACATCTGATGAAATTTCACCAGAAAAAGGGAAATATTTCTTTGTGATTTGTTTTGGAAAATGAGCCAAATTTCATCACAAATATTAAACCTGAGCGAAACATTCAGACCTGCACATTTTTATCATTTTCACTTTCAATAACCAGGCCCCTGCTCTGACTTTAAGCTCTACAAAAATATTAAAATGCAAAAATAAACTTAATTAAACAGGATTTTCTAACAGTGTGTGGATATAATATTCAAAAACACAAAAAATATGAATTAAATTTTTAAATTGCTGTGATTTTAAAGAGCTGATCTGTGTTATAATGTTGTTTCCTCGTCACACTCACAAAAACACACGTTACAAAACTCTGTCAAAAGTTAAAGGAGTTGTTCACTTCAAATCTACCCCTTTGTGACATCACAACGTGGAACAGAGCATGTGGAAATTTCCAGTGTCATTTCTAAACTTTGGTAATGTTTTTGGATTGTGTTAAATTAAAAGATAAATATTCAAATTAACAACAAAACTGAACATTTGGATTAAATCTGAGCTGTAAAAGTCGTGTTCAGTCCTGGTTTAGTCCTGGTTTAGACTTGGTTTAGACCTGGTTTAGTCCTGGTTTAGACCTCCTTTAGACCTGGTTTAGTCCTGGTTTAGACCTAGTTTAGACCTGGTTTAGACCTGGTTTAGACCTAGTTTAGACCTGGTTTAGACCTGGTTTAGACCTCATTTAGTCCTGGTTTAGACTTGGTTCAGTCCTGGTTTAGACCTAGTT